TTACTGCAGTATTATGATCATGATAATGGCTTTGCTATTGTGACATGAATAACACTTCTCTGACTGAATTAATTCTTCTTGCTTAGGTCTGTGTTAGTTCTACAGTTCACAGGTCCACGGAACACAAAATACCATCACTTTTCCTGTCATTAGAGTCTTATGCCAAGCCTGTTTCTTAAGTGGTTGGGTACTCTCCTCCCCATCTGCATATGCCATCCCATCTCATCCCCAATCCTGCTTCATAGCTCACACATGATGTGGATTTCTGCTTTCAGAATTTTTTGAGGTTTTGAACCTTAATATATTGACTGAACTGAACTGTATTCAATTGCTTAAGGTTGACATTTTCTTCATGAAATTTACATTAACCTGCCACTCCAGCAATCTTACAGCTCCCTCCAGTCATTACTTGGCCACGGTACTACATGTATGCCCCCCTCTAATCTCCTATGATGAACTCCAGGTTTATGGCAAAACAGCATGAAATTACATATGTGTTCTGATCATGATGATTTATCTTTTTCAATACCTCCCTTCCTTCTGTGGCTGTACTTTAGGACAGCTTTGTCCTAAAGCCTTGTCTTTGTTCCCAAGATAATCCTAAAACTCTACACCATGAACTCTGCAAATAAATCCCAAACTGGATTTTCTAAAGAATCAAGGAACCAAGAAGCACAGACTTTGCAAGACAGAATGGAAGGGTCTAGAAGGCTATAGTGAGAGCCATTAAAATAAACATGTGCTGTGAGCAACAAGGAATATATGTTTGGCATCTATTCTGGTTTAGGTCAAATTTGGGAGGAAGCTTCCAATGGGGTCCCTCAAAAAAGAAGATTTAAGTGGCCCCTCTCCCTACTGGTTTGGGAAAATATTTCCTTGGAAAAAAGTGGGAAAAACCCTATTTATTTAACAAAGTATTCACAAGCATAAATAATGAATAATATTAAACAATAAAACCTCTCACTGTTCTGAAGAGGTGGCAAATTCAGAAAGTCCTTGTCATGGGCTGTAGCTTGGCTCACTCAGTGTCTTATCAGTCCCTCCTGCACTGGAGAATGCCATGTCCTGGGCCCCAGTGGACCACAGGTATGAGCTCCTGGTGTTTTCCTGGGTTTTCAGTCCAGAGCAGGGCTGATTAGTTCCAAGAAAAAAAGAAAAACCACAGTCCAGGGAATTTCTCTGCCTCAGCTAGCTAAAAAGTAACTAAAACCAAAGGAGAGCTCTGTCCTGCCATCTGCCCGTGCGGCAGACAGCACAGCCCAGGAGCAGGATGCAGGGGAACAAGTGCAGCTTCTGATACCAAACTCTGAGCTTTTTCTCCCCCCACTTTTCTCCTGGAACTAGTCTTAAAAGTGCAGAACCTAATATCCAGCATAAATAGAAAAGACAACAGAGCATACAAGCATCATAAAAGTCACCCTAGGACAGCATCAGAAGAAGCCAGAGTTAGGCAAACCCAACAAAATGAACCTTGATAGCAATATTGTCCCTGAAAATAAGGCATTTAACAGATTCATTCTAAAATTTACTTTGGAAAAAAAATCTGTACATATAACCAGCAACTGGTGAACTCAGGGTTCTTCCATCTGCTTCAGAGCAAAAACTAGCATATAAAAATTAAAAGATCACAAGGGGTATTCCCACTTCAACTTATTGCTACCTGTAAGACTTTTTTCTCTCATTAAGTGACTTCTACTTAATGTGTGAGAGAATAAGCAGAATGTGAGGAAGTGAACAACAGGGCAGAAGACTCTGAATATGCTTAATTGCATTATAATATCATTTTTACCACTGAATTGAAAGGTCTCTAAATACTCAAACCATGAGCCAGATGATGCAAATATTATTTGAGCATAATTCCTATTCACTGAGGGAAATTTGCCTGAGTAAGGACTGTAAGGACTTATTAGGTTCCCCTGCTACAAGATTATTCTTTGTGCCTCACATGTATCATAAATAGCTGGGGCAGACAACTACATTAAAAAAATCATTTAAAGAAAGATGATGGACAGATATGATTGCTTAGAATTGGGACATAGGGCTTTATAAGAACTTTCATCAGAAACCTGTGCATTGTATAAATTTGTTGCTTTCATTTTCACACTAAATGGAGAATTAATATGACTACTTTCATTTGTCACATATACACATAAGCAAGGCTGAATGACTAATATGCAGAGACCTGAAATAGATTTCTTCAACAGGAAGTTTTGCATTTTTGCAGTAGTAGCAATACTGCTATTTTAAGAAATGAGGATCAAATTAAATGTTTACTTCTGTGACAGTGTTGCCAAAATGTCAGTAAATTTATGAACAGTTCATAATTTTAGCTGTCCTTTAGACAATGGGTCATATGTGCATTAAAGTAATCATAATAACCTGTCAGTAAAAATCTCCTGTAGCCCATTCATAGGAGAAAAAAATGTTTGCAAGTTCAGCAGCTCACTTCTGTACTTGCAGAATGGTTTATCCCATAAAGTGGTACAACCAACCTCTCCAAAAAATAATTTCATTTTGACCTGATGAGCTGAGATTTTAAGACTTATTTTTTTAAATTTACAGAATTCCTTTTCAGGATTCACCAAATACCACTCTTAACAGTCATTGATTAGAAAATTGCCTGTTGCCCTTAGATCTCTCTCCTAGAGAAAAAAAAAACTACTCATCTTTGAATTACCTAAACTCAGTAGTGTGCAGAAAGCAAGAGACTTCAAATACTTTTGGGGACAGGATTCAACAACCTAAAGCCTACCAATCAGTGCATTGTCACTGTAGCTAAACTTCCTCAGGATTTGTACACCTTCTCCCCTTCAGATTTGCTCTCCCTCCCGCTGTAATTAGCTACTTTTTGTAGGATCAGACCCACCACACTGCTCTTGTTTAATCTCAGCAAGCAAAATGGTTTTCAGGCTTGAGTCCTCCCATGATGTCACCTAGCAGAGTACTGAAATCTCAAATATTATCCATCAGTCAGTCATTCCTACTGCTACTTGTCCCTCCAGTTAGGGTCACAGCACCAGCAAGGTCAGCTACAATCTAAAGTACAATGTTCACTCTCTAAAACAGAGCCTTGCCCTCTTACTGGCTTAAGAAATACAGCAAATGGGAGTGAAAGCATTCAGTTTTGAACACTTTGAACATTCTGCAGTGATATGTCACTTGCTAAGACATTAGAAAAGAATATTTTCTCACACACTGGCACACCATCTAATTAATGAGATTTATGTTTACCTTTGAGCGGAAGAATTGCCTCAGTTTACCCAGACTATTACACAAAGGGGATTAAAACAATCAAACAGTAGGTCTGCTGATGCCTTATTTCAAAGGCAGTATTCATGCTGTAGTCAAGGCAAACCCAGAGAAGGTGACCCCAGTATCCCTGCCTGACAAGCATCCTCTCTCATACTAACAAATTAAAGATTACTTGCTTCCAATTCAATAAAAATGAGGTGAACTTAATTTTGCCTGGGCATTGCCTCTGCAACAGTCAACAAGTATTTCAAGTGAGCATTTAGACATTTAAGGCCGAGTGCTTTCCTTTCTAAATGCCTTGCTTTAAAAATCCCAAACAAATCCAACTTGAAACAGCCACTGATGGAGACCCATTGAAGACAGATAGAAAACCCCAGCTAAATGTGCATGGACAGTTACGTAAAGCCAAGTTCAGGTGAGGATATTTCTCTCTAACTTCAGATGGAAGTTTATAATGTTGGGGGAAAAAAAGTCTGCTCTTGATTCCAGCCCCATATTTAATGCCTCCAGAATTAATACCTGTGTTTTCTCAGGACATCAACTATTCAATCCACATTTCTAAGTACAAATTTGGCTACACTGTCTCTAATTTACTAAGGTTATTGGTAAAGTTAATAAGCACATGTCCTGGATATAAGAACATACAAAACACCCCCCCACCACCAATCTCCACCGAGCTGAAATAGAGTACTTCTAAATTATGGATGTTAAGCAACATTCTGGATGGATCCCTAAAGACTTCAATTATGAAGAAAAAAGAACATTTTTTTCTACTGCAGCTAAACTGCATTCTCAAAACATTACATAAAAATTCCTTTGCCTTTGGTTAAGTGTTTCTTCTTTTATTCCTATTTTGTTCCTGGACTGTACTTTAAGTACATATTCTTTAAGTTACCTGGGTTGATTTCTAAACATTTTCATGTTACATTTAAGTTAGAATGTTTTATAATTTGTATATAGTTTAGTGGTTTATATCTTATTATCTTGTATTTAACTACAACAAATTTTATACTCTGGTGAAGTGCTCAGCTATATGGCTCTGGACAGGCATGGGGCAAGTAAGAAAAATAATCTCTTTCAATAATTACTTGCTTTGAGTGTACTGGGAATGCAAACCTCTGAAATATACGTGTTATTATAATTTTCACAATTATGTAAATAAAAACTCCTTAGCATATTCAGTAAGAGAACAGAAACACTTGATTAAACATTAGCAAAAAATAACAAGTTTTAATGCAACAAAACTTTTAATGTTTTAGGTTTGGTTTGTTCTTTTCAGAACTGACCTTATTCAATATAAAAGTTTTAATTAAGGGTGTTATCCAACTAGATACTGTTGGCACACAGCTTTCTGTACAGCATGTACCTGTTTATCAGAATAATACCTATATATGCAAGACAGCTATCAGAACAATAATAGACAGGCCATAGCAAGAGACAGTGAAAAAAATGTTTCATAATTAAAAGAAGAATTATCAATAGTTCCTCTAAAATCAGGACAAAGTGGAGTGTTAATGATTATGCTGGGATGCTACAGGATACTTGGTTTTGATGAGTTTTCTAGCCTTCTTTTGTATTCACTGTATTGCATATCTCATGTGTTATCCAAATCAAGAATTCATTTATCCTGCTGTTGCTACTCTAGACTGAATGGCAGGCATCAAACCCTCGTAAAACAATTGTTTCATCTTGCTTTTTAGTATTTTGTTCTTGGTGTAGCCACTGCATTAAATGGAAAGCTCACTTACCTAAACTTAATGAAAAGATCTGCCCACTCCTGTGGTAGCTGGGGAGAGCGTTACAGCCTATAAAACAGTTTAAAAAGATGTTGCAAATTATTGCAAAGCAATTGAGGCTTCTACTTAAACACTAGCCCAGGGACTATCTGCAGGATCTGATATTGCTGCCTGTATATTGGAGCAACAGACGTTTATTTTTGTCTTGCTTATGTTCCTTCTGTTTACAGCACTTACTGTGATTTTTCCTTCCTGGTCTCTTACCTCTACCCTCAACTGGACAACTGGCCCTGCTATGAAACCTATTCCTGATTCTGCCTCCGCAGCATTCCTCCATTATTAAATGTTCTGAGTTGTTGTTGTACGTCAGAAACACAAATAATTCACTAATAAAGATACATCTTGAAGTAAAGCCTGTCCACTTGTGACAACAAGACATCCTTGAGCAACTCCACTCCTTTTCTCCATTATATCCATTTACACAGCTTCATCCATTTGTACATTCTGTGTTTAGGGCCTTATCTGGCAGCCAGTTCTTGCATGAAAAATTTATCAGTGACATTACTGTCAGACATCATTTTCTGAAGGAGGTCAATGCTGGAGACTGGACATTACAGTAGATGGATTCCTGAGCCAATGCAATATGGCAGTTTCTGTATCCTTAGATTCACAAAATTATTCACTTTTCGGCTGGAATGGTGCTTTACCGCCACAGCAGTCTGCCCAACTGAACTTACGGAAGTTGCCTTTTTGCATGTGACCAGCATTACTTTAGTATACCCCATACCTAACACTCTTTGATGCATTCTTAATGAGAATTATGGTAGGCCTGATCCCTGCCTCATCAGTTCTTAGTTACCGATATAAAAAGAACAGCAAGGAAGCTGTCCCAGATGGGCATCTGTGACTTCTTTCTTTTTTGTCCCAAAATATACCCTATGGCTCTGACAATTCAAATAATAGGAATTATAGAGATAATATGTAGGCATAATTATGGTACATTGACTTGGTCAGCTACATAGCCATTAGAAGGCTTTATGACTCCCTTTTCTGGTACAGAACAACTTCAGGTTAAGGAGCAATCAGTTTAGTTATCCTTTTTCAGCTTAAAAGTAACATCAATACATTTCTAGGATATTGGAGGATAGCTGTATGCCAAAAAAAGCCCAGTAACATACAGTAAATAGATACCTTCCTTCCAGTATTAACTGAAAATTATCCCATGGGAAAATTATTCCCCATGTGAACACTTTCCAGTTCAGTATTGTTCTCACTGAGAACACAGATATTATACTGAGGAATGGTTCTCAGCAAGAAAAGAGCACAGTGATCATGCAAACTGTGATAATTCAGTCACCTAAGAAGCTGCACCTGTAGTATTCACTTTGCTGGCAGAATATTAAGAACTGTTGCTTTTCTTATAATTTCATGGCTATGAAATCATTCCCTGGATATAGGAAAATATTGATGGCACCAGCTGAACACAAAGCAAATGATCCCAGCTCTTCAGTCCAGGTGGGTGCTTTTCCTCTGACCTGCCTGCATAGATTAACACAAATGTCCACCACTGGGACACATTAGGTGCTTGGCAGGTGGAAGAGCATGTTGTTTTGCATAGCACATTGGAATTTATCCTTCAAAGTCTGAAACTATTTGGCCTTTTAGTTACAACCCAACCTAGTAATGAAGTAATGACTTGTGGTAGCACTTGCTGCATCAATTGTATTTTGTGTGTTAACAGATGCTGGATATCTGATGGCTGATGTATTGTGGCTTAGACTTGTATTAAAGTAAAAACTCAGAGATCTTGATCTACTACACCTATTTGACATAGCTGCAAATTTTCTCTTTTCCCACACACATACAAACATTCTTTTTTTTCCATCACTTTCTGTTTCCTGTCTCCTTCCTAGGCAGAAGTGAGAGATGTGGCTGGGTACCTATGTTAATTGTCCAGCATGAGAGTGCTGCATTCTTGCATTGTGGCATGGAAATATCACCCTAATTACTTGCTGCTTTACATACATTCTTACTGTTTTTCTTTCCTTCTTTCCTCTCCTAATGTTTTTGTGGTTTTTTTTTTTTTGGTGTTTTTTTTTTTTTTTTTTTTTTTTTTTTTTTTTTTTTTTTTTTTTTTTTTTTTTTTTTTTTTTGTTTTTTTTGTTTTTTTTTTAACCAAGCCCTTTTAGGTTATTTACATTTGCTCTTATACCTTCAGTAATAGTCCCAAAGAAGTTTTTCCTACCCAACTGTACCATTCAATCTGTTTCATCTTCCCTCCCTTTTGGACTATATTTGCAACTAAAGGCTTACTGTCCACAGAACATGATTGATTCAGAGTCAAACATGCATGATATTTTCCAGAAAAATAAAATAGACAGATTTATGCCATGAGGAATTTACATTGTAAAAATTACTTTATTCTCTCCCCTAATTCTCCTCTTTTTCTGTCAAGATTGACAATATCACCTCAGTTCCTTTCTCCTCAGGCCTCCAAGGTAATGTCTAATTGATATTTTGCTCTGGCAAGAAGACTTTTCTTATGACTGACCTTCATAATTTGCTTTGTTACTCACTAGGCAAACCACCTTTCTCATCTAGGCCTTTCTGACTATTCATAGCTATCTGTGGGACTGCTTCAGCCTCTTTCCTTTCCCTGCATTGCAGAAGGGTGCTCTAAAATCAGAAATTATTACTCTCCCCTCACATGAATAATCTCACTCCACCTGTCTACTTCTACACCAAGCACATATGTCATTGTTGTTCAAATCTCATTGTTCTTTACTATAATATTAAAATTAATTTTATCACATTTCCTCTTTCAGCTCTTGCCATCTTTTTTTAGCCCTTTTCTCATCCTAGTTCTGTCTTATCTTGTGGTAACCTACCCTGGTATTGGATCAGTTACTCAGTGATGTCCAACAAGTTTCCTGCTCTCAATCTGGAACTCATAAATACTCCTCACTCAGATGGTCCCTATCTCACTCAGGATCCCTCCTTTAATTCTCTGCAAAGGTCAACCACTTACTGCAACTGCCATATGAATTGTACTGTATGCATTTGTGTTTTTTTTTTTTTCCTGAGGCTTCTGAAGTTGCTATAGCTTCAAAACTATTAGGATGCTTCTTCCTTTCAGTTTATGGAATCTCAATCCCTGCTTTTTGGTGCAGTGTAAAAATTGCAAAGTGTTTTACATAACAATGCAGTGTAACACAACTAATAATACAAGCAAAAGGTAAGCAATGTACTTGAACTTGGGAAAAATTCACTGTGGAAGTTTAATATTTAAACAGTACTAGTCATCTTCTTTACTGTTGTGCTGTTATTAGAGAAATACATAACTAAATCCATAGTGAAAGGATACTGGAACCTAAATCCAAGGCAAATATTAGGAAGTGCTGAATTACATCAGAGGATGCAACATAAATGGTAAAATGCTTCAGAATATTGTCAATTTCGGTGACAATTTCCTTGTACCTTTAATTTTTGTAAAATCTGCATTATTTGCTCATTATAAAAGCCTGATTTGGAGTTTATTGAAAACCAACCAGTCAGGGCAGAATGCTTTTGTCAGATGTATTTGCATTTAACATATGAAGTGGGGGAGGGAACAGATGGAAGAGGTGATAAATTTTTATAGTTAAGTAGTGAGAAAAAACCCAACCCATAACAAAACAATCACAATTAATTGATCAGAGTTTCTAAACATGACTACAAGTCTTAAAAAATAAAATAATAAAAAAAAGCAGTATATATGTATATAAAAAGCAGTAACCCTAATTTGGATGTCCTAATAACTGGTGAAGATGAATTAACATCATGCTGGTGAGTGATATTGACCAGAGATTATGACCAGATTAGGTTCATCAGATTCCTGACGTTGTATAAAGAACTGAACTCTTACTAATATCTGCATCTGAGGATTCAAAAGAGAAATTACAAAAGCTGTAATAAGAACCCTGATTCTAGGAGAGAAAAACATGAGGAAAAATATGACAAAAATCATAGTTTGTTAGCAAAAAGGCATGATTAAGAATTGTTCTTTAAATAAGATGCTGAACAGACTTCAATCTCAATAAAATAAATTAAAAATATGGCATTGGATTCTCTTAATTAAGAAACAGGAAAATAAATAGCACCAATCAATGTAGCTTTATGAAAAACTGGCTTAGATGGACAAGTCTGACTAGAGTCTTTAAGAGAACTACCAGTTTGTTGTACAAAGAAATTGTGATATGAACTCCTCAGATTTCTTTTTAGAAAATCAGGCATATACCGCAACAATATAGTACATGTCAAATGGCTTAAGAACTAGCTAACTGACAGTTTGACACTTGGGCATAATTCTCTGAAAGGAGTATTTTTAACAGTCTCTGCATGAATCAAAAGTAGATGCAGAAGAATACAACCACTGCAATGCCCAAAGAAGTTTACATTTTCTCTCATAATTCATATTAATATCTAACAATAAAATATATAAGCACAACACCATAATGGCAAATATTAGGCAGGAATAAAAGGTGACCTGACTCACCAAGTTAGCTGGGTCTAAAACCATTTTAACACAGCACAAAATATACAATGATATACCAATGAACAAGAGGATATATCTCCAAAAGAACAGCTGCCTCTTGCAGGCTAAAGCTGCTTCTTTTGGTGCATCACAGAGCTTCCAGAGTGTTGCAATTAGGTACAACTTTACAAAATGAAGGCCTTGTTACCCTTGTAAAATCATGGCTCACTTCTGTTACTTTGGCTGAGTAGAAAAGGACTCTGGGAATGACTTCACCAAATTAGAGGTAGGAAAAACAAGTTACATAATCATTGCATGTTCACATTGTGTTGTATGGTGGTTGGTTGAGTTATGTTTGTTGTATTTTAAAAGCATGTAACTGATAAAAGCCTAACTGCTTTAAAAGGTGCCTGGTTTTTGCAATAATGGAGTTCTCTTCTGCACCTGTCTGCAGTGTTTGTGCCGCTCTGCTTCCTAACACCAGAGCACAGCTGTTTCCCAAAGTTACTGCTGGAAGCAGAAGCATCCTGGGCAAGAGGAGAAGCGTAACATTATT